CAAATTAATATATACTAGTAAACAAGTCATGGCCAATACAAATATCAATTTAAAACCTTAATTAAGCTAATGGGACCACAAAATAGATTTTAATTAATTCTTTTAATTAAAATCTCTAGATTTTTAAACTTAACCAAATGCTCCCAATTTAACATATCTTAGAGAATATGCCAAGAACTAATGTAATATCACATTACAAGTTTATTTCATTCAATTTAAGACCATGTGATTTAACCTTTCACTAAAGTTAAATATAAATTAAAAGTTACAATTCTCATGCAATTAATCCCAATTTAATACATGTGAATAACCACACCAAAACTTAATTTTCTAGCATGCCACAATTCAATTCCAAGTTATATATCACCATGAGGATTAAATTTTAAACAAGGAAATTAATTAAATGAAAGGTTTCAAAACCTCACCGAATATTCTAAATCAAATATATGTGAAACTATATGGCATGTAGATCAAGAATATCAAGTCGGAATTCGAATGGAGTGAATAGTGCACTCGGGGCAAATTAATTAATCAAATTAATTAATAATTACTAATTTTCAAAACACCTCCAATTTCTTTCAAATTCAACTATGTTGAAGAGCATGCTAAGGCCTAATATAATATGCTAACACATATTAATTTCAAGTTAGTTAAAGCCATGTGAATTAATCTTTCACCTAAGATAAATATTAAATAAAATCTTTAATACTTATTCAAATGTTCCAATTTTAATACACGACAATGAGCATATCAAGGGGCAATATAAAATTATGCTACATGTTTAAACCAAGTCATGAGTAACCGGAAAAATTAGATCTCGTATAAGAAAAATAAATAATAAAATCTCTAGATTTTATATTTAATAATGCAAACAAGTAGTATAAGCATCACAAGCATGCTATATAACAAGAATTTAAACCTAGAATATCTTCTACCTCAATTTGAGATGAAAATCCCAAAGGCCCACCAAAATAAAAGTGCTCCGAATTCGACGATACCGAGAGGTTTTGTCGGGGACAACACTGTGAACAAGAATCCGCAAGAAGCCCCATGAAAATCATAACTTGACCTCAAAACCAAACTCAAGAAATGGTCAAAACTGAATTCTAATAAGGGGGAAAGGTAGAGCACGGCGAGGGGAACAACAAACGTTAAGGCCGAAGACTTTCCATCAAAGAAAAGTGAACCAAAAGAGGAGAGAGAAGATGGCAGCACCCCTTGGGCTGCCATGGGAGCTCCAGGTCGTGCACGAAGAGGGGAGAAGATGAAAAATGAAATATCTCACCCCCCCTTTTATAGAAATCTCAAAAAGTGCCCCGAACGGGTCTTGCCGGGTCCGAAAAAGTAAAATTTGAGCAGACGAGCTCAAATGGCAAAACTTTGTGAACGAAAAAGATTCAAAATGATAAAATATGAATAACGGAAGAAACGGCGTCAAAAACTGAGTCCTGAGCAGAAAATTATACCCAAAGCAAGTTTGGCGAAAACTAGGGCCAGAAACCCTGAAACTGGAAAACATCGACCAGGAGGAAATTCCAAGAGTACACAACTCGACGAAATGTGAAAATGAATCCCGTACGAGAATCCAGGCTCAAAACAAGATATTTTGCAGTAACTTTCATTAATTGCACAATGGCCCCTCCAAAAAGTGAAAACTGCACTTATGGCCCAGAATGAAAATATCTTCCAAAAATATTTTCTTAAAAACCCCTGAAATAAAATATCTTCAAAAGATATTTACGAAAAATACCCCTAGAAAAGAAAATAATTTTAAAGAACTTTGCATCCATGCCCCTATGGACACCGGGAGCAACCAAAGTACTTTCTTGCAAAAGTAAAGATACGTATTTCGTAGAAACCACTCAAGATGAAGGCACGTGAAGTCAAAAACCAACTCCGAACACAAGAAGTGTGGTTACGCCAACAAAGTGTCAAACGGGGAAAAGACAAAATAGGGAAAAGGACGAAATAGGGAAAATGACGAAAAGTGAATAGTGTCGAAAAACGAAAAAATGTGAAAATGACTCGGTCCTCAAAGGAAGTTGTCAATCTACCAAAAAGAGTCTCAGGAACCAATTCCGAGCACTCGAGATGACACTAAGCGACACGAAACAGAGCCCAGAAAAGAAAATTAAACGAAAAAATTCATTCGTAAAATTTCAGGAAAAAGGAAAGGAGGCAAATGACCGGGTCGTTACAGTGTGTGTATGTGTAGTTTGCAGTTGCAGAGAGAGAGAGAGAGAGAGAGAGAGAGAGAGAGAGAGAGTTGCAATACAAGAATTACAGACCTTAATTAGTTGATTTTAGAAAAAAAAAACTTTAAAATAAAACCCATACATACAAGTTAGCAGTTGCAGAGAGGGGGGCGCAAGTTCGAAAGATATAGGTTTTGATTTTTAGAACAATCTGAAATGATATGCCGATATGGGTTTTGATCTTTTGATTCTTATAAATTTTGTAGCTTGTAATTGGGGAGAGAGAGAGGATTTGTGAGAATGAGAATAAAGAGATGGAGGCGATTAGGGAGGCTGAAATGATTTTGCCCTACTAACCCTACCAAAAAGGGTAAGATGGTAATTTCATTATTATCATTTCCCCTCTTTTCTCTTCTTTGTGTTATTCAAACAACAATATTGCCAATTCCTTTCTTTTCTCTCCTATCTATCCAAACATGATTATAAATTATAACTATTCTTTCATTTCATTTCATTTCTTTTCTCTCATAATCCTTTCTTTTCTTCTCTCATGTGTATTCGAACGAAGCCTTAGAATTCGACAAATTAATATGCTTGTGCAAACAGAGAAGGAAGGAATGACTTTTTTAAATGAGGTCTATATAACCCTAATTTACAATTAGCATAAACTCTGATAAATACAATATTCACAGCCCAAATCCAATGTTAAAAATCAAAACCTTCCATCAAAGTCTTCCAATACAATTTCTTTTTTCTTTTTTCATATATTGTGTTTTTCCTGACAAAGAGAAATACAAGAGAAGAAGAATTAAGAAAGCCGGGAAGAATCCAACACAACCTCTGTAACATTCATAGGATAAACTTCAAGAGGTTGATCCGAGAGAAGATGAGCCCTCAAAAGTGCAGCAATCGCATGTGCCACCCGATTCTAGTTCCGTCGAATGTGCGAAAAAGAGGCCTGCGAGAACCTCGAAGCACCTGCTATCTCTGCCAGACACCCAATAAGACCATTAACAGCATCAATCAAAAAAGAGGCCCGCGAGAACCTCGAAGCACCTGCTATCTCTGCCAGACACCCAATAAGACCATTAACAGCATCAATCACCACCACGGAGTCCCCTTCAATCCAAAGATCATGCATCCACATTTCAAGGGCCCGATGAAGAGCTCTCGTAAACACAAGACTTCCACCAACAGGGGAGAGCTCAATGGTAATGGCTGGAACACCACGGCTTTGAGTATCTCTCCATGTGATCCTCGAAACACGACTCTGCTACCCCCCCATGAGCAACACCGAGCAAAAAGGCGACATCAAAATTACATTTTATCACCCCTTCAGGAGGAGGGGCCCAACGTGCCAGAGAGGAGCACCCGGAAGAGGAATGGGACAAAGCACCACGGCCAACCGACAAACTAAACTTTTATTAAGAAAAGAAAAAAGGGTTTTCTGGAACAATTAAGAACCCAGAATCCCTTTTCAAAAAGAGAGTCCCACAAGCAGCATATATTAAATAAGCCTAAGCTAAAGAATTGGGTTAATTATTCTATTATACAGTGATATAATTTTTGCAAGCTGATGCAATCCAACTTGGGAAAATAAAGTGACTCGTAAATTTTCTCTCAGATGAGATTAATGGTGAAAGAGACATAAGGATGAGCGTCCACATCACCTCCAAAACCGCCCATCCCTCCTCCATCTTCAGATTTCCAAAAGGTGCTGCAGTTGTGTATATAAATCAATTAGTATCCTCACAATAAACATTGCAGTCAAACATCTGACAAAAATGAGAGAGTTTCAGGTGGTCCTGGCACAATAAAAAACAAGCGGCCCATCACATTTAACCCCTGTATCGAGATGGGATAATATTGACTCATAACACGTCCAGAGATTTCAGCATCAAGGACAGACTTAAATGGGCTAGACAATCCTAGGACACTTGATTATTAGCAGTCTATTAAACCACTTACAGTATCAGTTCCTTCTGAACCCTTCTATAAAGATCCTTCAAAACAAAGCATGTTTTATATAAAATGTTCAAAAAAATGACTCCAAATTCATACATTTAGTAAAATATAGTCCCTTATTTTTCTTGTTTTTGGATAAGGTAAGTAACTCGCACACTTCGCCCACGCCGGGGCTCGAACCCCTCCCCCTTCCTCTTGAGAACGGGAAGTTATACCATTGGGCTAGAGGCCCTTTGGTAAAGGTGGGAAGTTATACCATTGGGCTGGAGGCCCTTTGGTAAAGGTGGGTTAAATATAGGCTTGATACTAGTTTAGACCTAATTTGGATGCATCTTACTCTTTCCCCCTTTAAAGGAGAAAACACACCTGAAGGAATTTGCACCGGAAACAATTCTTTTTCTTTTCCAAAAGCAGATTCGGATTGAAGATTTATTCACTGAAGGCCCTTGTCTATTGCAACATGAGATTGTTACAGTGGTATGCCCAATCTTCAACACAAAGGTTACATGAGGTCATTCAATAACAGAAAATCTAAAATGCTTATTAAGTACCTGTTTGTACTGTCACATAGTCCCTCTAGAATAGAACGAACCTTTTTCTCACTTTTCACAGAAGGTGCCAATACAACTGACTGCAATCAATTCAAGAATGGCATCTTAGCCAAGAAATTCAAATCATAACATAAGAAAAGATAAGGAAGAAAATAAGTACATAAGAAGGGAGGGAATAGAGAAGTTTACAGTAAATTACCAAGAATGATGGAGGCAAGCCGTATCTCAAAATGCTCTCCACAAAGACACGTACAGCACAGAAGTGCATCCAAGAGATGAAAACCTACACGACATACAGTGAAGCAAATTCTTGAAACAAGGATCCTCAATTTTCTTATCCTTGCAGGACAAGAAAATAATGAGTCTCAATTATGGACCTACAGAGAGCCAAAGAGCAGTGTAGTTGGAAGAACAAGAATCATCATCATCATCATAACTATTATTACAGTGCTGTCTACAGTTATCATTATAAATGTTGTTCACCAGGTGCCCCTAACACGTCATTGCACACATATCATTTGTTAGTGAAACTACTGTACACCAGTAGTTGCTGCGTAAAATGGTAGCCATTGCATCTGAGAACGTCCATCCAACAGGGGCGTCATGACTAGACCCATAAAGGCCTCTTGTGATACTGTAAGCCGGGAACCACACTGCTCCAAAGAACTATATACATTACACACGCACCTGTATACCTAAACATTTCTTGATATATCTACTAAACTGATTGGAAACATTCTTTATACTTCATGTTTTGATTAGGAAAAATCCTAATTGAATTGCATTAAAGTGTTTTTGCAGCATCTTTTTCTGAAAATTTCTAAATATAGTTGACAAGAACTTCAATCAACCAAGGGTCCTGGATTCATGTTGCTCCAAAGAAATTAAAAAAAAAAGCAGTTTTCCTTTGGGATAAATACACTGAAACATCACTCTCTCTACTATTCATTTTTGCCTATCTATAGCTCATCATTTCAAAACCTATAGACCTGCATATTAGAGAGATTCTAGGTTTACTGAAAGGCTAGAATGCATATGTATATTTTATTTTTGCATTCATCAATCATTCTTCATTAGATTGCTGGGTGTTATATGTCTACTAATTCTCTCCAAAATAAAATAAACGCTAAAAATTAAACACCTACAATATAAAATCTTTTAGGGTTTTTGTCATTTCTTTTTAAAATATATATATATAATTAAAACCTAAACCATGCCATTATTTACTTAATTCGTCAAATTAAGTAAAAATTTACATAAATTTTAATTTGAAACTAAACCCAAAATTTTTAATATTTTCAAGCTCAATAAACTCAAAAATCTAAAAAGTTTCACTCAAAGTTTTGGCACAAATCTAAACTATTATTAGGAATCAACTTAAAAAACCACGTGCACAAAAAATTGAACTCAGCAAAAATATAAGCAAGAAAGTTTAAACCAAATGAACACAATTATATTATTTATGAAAAAGAACTTCTGGCTATAAAATTGGCCAAACTATTTTGCTTCCATAGATGATCCTCACAACACCTTTGACCATAAGGTGTGTTACTGATTTGATTCTTAACCTGTTTTTTGGCTTTGGCTTCTAAACATTTTTCATTTATAAGCCGATAAATGTAACTAATTCAAAATCCAAGATTATCATCTTTTTTGATTCGAACTAAAAAAAAAGTGAAATTTAACATAAAAATTTCTTCATCACTAAAATCTGATTCTAATTCACTAGAAGTTTCATAAAGAATATTATCTGAATCAGAAATCTCTTCACCATAGATGATACGAAGATCTTTGGATTCGATCTTTTTGATCATCTTAGATGTTCCTTTACCCTTTTTTGGGCAATTAAGTGCAAAAAGCAGATTCGATCTTATCTGAACACTATTCATGAACAGTAACATCCAATGTTCAGTCTTCTGATTTTCCCAAATAATCAATGCCAAACTTAATACAATGCATTGATTTAAATAAAATAGAAACTGTAATATTTAAAACAAACTTACAATAATAATCCAAGCTTCGTTTTTTGCTATTCATCAAATAGTAAAAGTCTCTTTTTCTTTTCTATTTAAAGAGATGCATTGTATTGCAAATTTCGCATTATCGATTTCCTGAATATGTCATTTGAAATATTTAAAATCTAAACATATTTTCAATTTTTTCCAACTTCATTGACTTCATCCAGGAACATATTTTTTCCTTCTTCTGTGGCATGTCTGGCCATTTGGAATTCCTTTGATATTGCTGGGCTTTCAATTAATGATTGGCATGGATTGTAGCTGTTCTCATTTGAGAACCTTTTTTGGTCTTATTGTTTTGCAGCTACTGCAAATGGAGTAACTCCCTATCAGTCTTGTAAAGTGAGGGTATGCCTTCACTATTTTCCCTGTACTATATTGATTTTTTTTTTCTTAATGAAAGTCCATTTTGGAAAAGAAGAAGAAAAAAATGAAGTCTCTTTATTTTTGTTTCAGGATGGATAGAGAATAGCGAAAAAAATAGAATTCTTTTTGTTTCTTGTTCTCAAAAAGAAAGAAGAAAAGAGAAATTAAGAACAATGAAGCAAAATAGAGGAAATTTGTTAAATTTTGAGTCATACCTTTGAAATTCAGAGTTGGATAGTCTCTACATTCGAGTTGGGTACCTGATTTTTGCTTTTTTTATTTATAATACAACTAGACTAAAGAGTTGGGCATTATATTTAAAATGATTAAATTTATTTGCCCAAAATGGGTTGTAGGCAATAAATCCACAAGAAGAACAAAACAACACGATTATCGGTACGATCATGCAATCCTATACAATTCTACGATCCTACTTTCAATTCTAGTGATCCTACTGTGATTTTGCTTCCTAGCAATTTCATGTGATTGGAATCGATTTGGTAATTTGGGATCGTAGGATTAGGAGGTTGTTGCCCTTTAATAGGGCTCTTTTGGGCAAGTGGTTGTGGAGATTTGGTGTTGAGCACCGGAGACTTCGGAGGAGGGTTATCTCATGCCGCTTTCAAGAGGAGAGAAGGGGTTGGTGTTCCCTAGCGGTTAGGATATGAGAAGGTGTCGGCGTTTGGAAATGCATTCGGAAGGGTTGGAATGATTTTCCAAACATATCAAATTCCGAGTTCGGGATGGAAGGGGCATTCGTTTTTGGGAGGATCTTTGGTGTGGAAAGCACCCCTTAGCTTGTTCCTTTCCCCCGACTTCCCAAGATTGCTGTTGATAGGCATGCCTTGGTTATAAACTACTATCGGCTTGATAGCGGGAGGTTAACTTGGAATCTGCATGTCTCGAAACATTTTCAGGAATGGGAGATCGATGAGGTGTTTAGTTTTTTGGAGCTTCTCTAATAAATGAGGTAGTGGAGGCCCAGACTCTCTAGCTTGGGTGTCTTCTTCTCAGGGGAGGTTTGATGTGAGTTCCTTATTCAAATGCCTCTCGGATTCTTCTAGGCTTGCCTTCCCGTGGAAGGCGGTGTGGCATTCCAAGGCTCCGCCCATGGTCGTTCTCTTTGCTTGGATAGTGGTTTGGGGCAAGATCTTGACATTTGGATAATCTGAGGAGGAGAAGACAGATGACTGTCAACTGGTGCTGCATGTGCAAGAGGAATGGAAACTTGTTGGAGAATAATTACAGGAGTGATTTAAATCACTCTTTTAACAGAATGTTAAGGCTGCTATACTTCGGCAACAAGTTGTTGTCATATTTGTATTTGACTTTGTGTATCCAATGGGTCATGCCCCGAACCAAGAAAGGTTTGATGGATGTTTGGATAGGGTGCTTTGTGGGATCCCACGCCCATGATATTCGGAGGGTAGCGCCCTTGTGTCTTCGGTGGTGTACAGAATATCCTTCGATGGAGAGGAATCTTCAATTGGTGCTTTAAAATCTTTGATCTTTAGCTCTCTTTTTTGTTGGGTTATGGGTAAATATCGTACATCTATAGAGGAGTTTGTTGGTTTCTTGGGCTCCCTCGGAACCTAGGGTCCCTTGTGGCCTATTTGTAGCTTTTGGGATGCGTTCCACTTTTGAATGCTTTCTACTGCATACTTATAAAATAAAAAAAATTAAAGATTCTACAATCCGGATCGGGATTTTAACAACCATGGATTCTAGAGTTTCACTTTACAAGAATCATTGTCACATCCACATAAGGAAGAGATCAGACTATGTTTCCTTTTCCTTCGTTGGCTATGGTTGAAGATCTAACACATCCACATCTATTATTATATTTTGATTTCTGCCTTTTTACACATTAATTCTAACAGGTTATCTTAGAAGAAGAACAATGTCTCCCCTTCACCCAACTACAAATGGATCGAATAATATGAAGTTTCAAAGTTGTCGTAGACACTTCCAGTCCTTCAAAGCATCTGTTGTTCCTCTCTCTCCATATGCACCACCAAACACGATGTGGAATGGTCCACCAACACTCACGAGCATGACCCCCCACATGACATCCCCCACGCTTCAGTCATGCCCCTTGTGGACCGGGGCATCACCCAAGAAATACTGAACAATCTGAAAATAAGATTCCAGCAATCATGTACCACAGGGCAGTGTAAAAGTAGGTGATCCGTAGACTCACCATTGTTTTTGCATAGACAACACCGATTGACCATAATAACACCTCGCTTCCTCAGGTTATCCAATGTCATCTTGTCTTATTGATGCAAATCGATTGAATTGTTGACATATGGTCAATATGATAATTCAAAGACCCTATCATCATCCCTAACTTTTTTTTTCCTTTATTTAATACAAATTTTCAATTTCAAAAAGCAAATGGATCATCAAAAATATTGCAAAGAGACCATATGTAGCAAACTACCACTTATAATATGCGGCAACCTAGTAAACAAAACAATAGCCATCATTTTAAGATAATTTCTCATTCCTTCAGTTACAACAATGCAATAACGTTTGTAGGCCAATGATATCTCCTCAACTTCCCAAAGTGGAAGGTTGAGGGTTCAAGTCCCCATAGCAGCAAAACAGATGGGTTTATAATTTGGCAAGAAAAAAAAAAAAAATGTGTTCTCAAAATGCAACCAAATAGGTATAATGGACGATGAAGAATCATGCAGTATACCCTAGATAGAATATAATTTGGAGAATGACTAAATCAAAAGCCACCATTGTGAACCCCTTACCCAAGAATAAAATTTATATGATCCATTAATTTCATTTACATTGATTCAATCAAAATATCATTAAAATAAAATTAAAAATTCACAATCTTTTATAAAATGAAAGTACCTCTCCGTAACTGGCATAGCACCATTGCAAAAGAGAGCTTCTAAGTGTATCTTGGTCTTGCATTAGTTTCTCTATCTCCTGCTTCCGACTTTCTTGTGTTTCTGGACTATATTCGAAATCACGAACCTGAGTCACATGCAGAATCAAGCACAAACTCAATTAGAAAACATCCCACACCAAAATCAATATCCATCCATATTCTTCATGCATTCATTATCTCGCTGGAAAATAGCAGCAACAAATTCTCAAATTCTACAAAGCATGAGATATTTTTTATTTTTTATTTTTACAAGTACAAAGCATGAGATTTAACTGTTCCCGCAAAAACAATTGAGCTACTTGAATGACAAACTCACTTGAAAACCTCTTTCACGTGCCTTAGTCCTAAAATTGTCGGCATCGCGACTGAAAAGTGTCACAGTATAAAGAGCATATTCATTGTCCTCGTACAGCTTCTTGGAGGATCTGGGAACCTATAACAAATAGTTTAATCAAAAAGTAGAATTTACCAAAAAGTTCACTCAGATGCATTCAATTATTTGGAACATTGATAAAATACAAAATCAAGTATCAGGAAAATGCCGATTTTCAATTTCAGAGAATATGAAACAGAAACAAGTTGATTGTTCTCAGCACGCTTTCATATTTATCTGCAATGCGACGATCAAAAGTACCATGGTAATGCAAATAATGAACTGAATACCATGATTTCAAGATATGATAACATAAACTACAAATGAATTTTTTACCACATAAGTGGTGAGAGTCTCGTAGCTTGACAGCCAATCCTTCTGCGAGTACTTAGCAACAATAGCAAGGAGGGTTGTTAAATGCTCTGACATGATAATGTCCTGTGGCTTTACTAAATTAGACAGATCACGAACAGCTAAGCTGGAACAAGAAAATATTCAATTCAGCCAAAAGATCTAGAGAAATAGTGTATAACGAAAATTTGATGTGCACGTCAAAAATGAGGTACTAGAATCTCCAAAAAAAAAATTGTGTAAGCACAAACCTCCCACCTCCCTTTATTTTCAGCTCCATATTACATTAATTTCTCTAAGACCACACAACCTGCCCTACTCCAGTTCCTAGCCAGCAATGACCAGGAGTTGAACAGCCAACTTCCAACAATTGACAATACATTGATACAGTGCTTTTCAAAGTTTAACATAACAGAAATGTGGCGGCCGCCGCCATTTTTTATCTAGTCCAAGGAGGCAAGGACTTAAGTTATAATATCAAGAATATAATTACTCATAAAAAACAACTGTCTGCCATTTTCTCTATCATCCACATACATACACAAAACCCACTCAAAAGATGCTGAGGCACAATATGAACATGCAATCGAGCTACATTGAAGTCCTAGGTCATGGAAAGTTGTTGTATGAAGAATCTCAGTTTAAGTCAAATCTGTCATTTGTAACATACCTTCCACTCTGCTTTCTGTTAATGGCATTGAGTTGACTGCGCACATTGTTGTACTCAGCAACACGAACCTATCACAAGTAACCCAGAAAATACTTCACTTGGCGAGGTTCACAGTGGAAAACTATAAATGAATAAGTAAACAGAAGCCTAAACTTTGAGCCAAAACTCGTAAATTTAGTCAAATAGATTAAGCAACAAATATCCTTTTGTTTTTTTTCTCCCTAAAAATATATCTTTTATTGACTAGGTTAATAAACAGGTTCCTAAGCTAATGTAGATGTTCCAGTTAAAATGGGAAAAAAAGTAATATTTACATGATTGAAACATGAAAAATTAAAAAAGTCACCGCTTGATAGCACAATTATACAAATAACTGAAAATGTTTGGCAGGCAGGTTACATTAAATAACTCACATCATATATGCATCCGCAGATGGTTATAATAACGGACAAAATAGGAATCAATACCTTGAGATCATCCTCGATCTTTGCAACTTGTACATGAATGCCATCTACTATCTCCCTGAGTGGTGACATTGTCGGGTACTTCGCCTCATCCCACACAAACCTACAATTGAAAATTAATATTAACCTGACCCAACAACAATTCCCAAATTCCTCAAACCGTGATCACTCAAATCCAATTACCTAGTCAGGTATGAATCAACAGGAACACCATCGACTGTCAATGAACTACTGACCACGCCCGAAACCCTCTCGAATTCCTCGATCTGACGTCGAATCTTGTGAGACACTGCTTCGATGAAGCTATTCGACTGTACATCATTCCACATAGCGAATTAACCAAATTCAAAAACAATGACTCGAAAATTCGAAATCGCAACGAAAAGTGTAATTGGGTTTGCAAATTCTCACCTTGTGAAGATCATCGCTCTGAGAGAGAAGAGAATCTAGCGTTCCAACTCGGAGATCTGGGATACTGAACTGCAAAATTAACGATTTCAAAATGAGATCTCATGCGTGTCTAAATATATATGTGTGTTGTGATGAGTATAGTACCCTATAGAGAGGAGTGTCGAAGGAATGCTTAGAGATGGATTCTTGCAAGTGACTCCATAGAAGAGAATCGGAATGAGAGTTTTGAACGGGAAGAGAGACCACCCAATATCTTGTCGCCATTTTGGATTCGTTGCAGAGCTCCGAAGATGGGCATACGAAACAATTAGAAGTTCAGTATTGAACTGTGTCGCTGCTCCTGGGAGAGAGCAACATTAGATAACAAATATGCAAGGAGCAAGGATGGCTGAAAATCATGGCCCAGTGCACAATTTCCACCATCTTGGAATTAGTTGAGGAGAAATGGCCACGTTGCTTAAAAAAGTATGTAAAAAAAAACAATAACCGCAGACTGTTGAATAATATAATATACTTGTGTAATAATACCGTATAAGTTATATTTATAGGACATATTGTCCATTTAGACCTTAATTACTATATGGAATTGTCCATTTAGCCCTGGTCCTTACTTTACAGAATTTATAAGGAATGCAAAGAAGAGAAAAGAAGGAAGAAGGTCTACGTGGGTTTGCGAAGAAGGAAGAAGGTTTGGATCTCTCTCCATGCTCACCGGAATAGTTGGTGGACTGTAACTGTCATTCATTGTGAATTTAATCGTAATTGTTAGGCTTTGTGTCATTGGGCTGGTCCTAATGCACTCTATGTTGGATGCTATTGGGCATGTTGCCTTTGGGCTTGTATCTTTGTTAATATTTATATAAATTGAGAATTTACCTTTCAAAAAAAAAAAAAAAAAAAGAAGGAAGAAGGTCCTCTGTTGCCAGAAGAAGGTCTGCGTGGGAAGAAGGTGCTTGGTTGCGTGAAAAAGATCTGCGTGGGTCTGCAAAGAAAAAAGAAGGAAGAAGGTCCTCTGTTGCCCTTTTTGTAGTTGAAGAAAACCGTAACTTCTCTTGTGCGTCTGAGGCTTGGGTCTGCGAAGAGAACCATCACTACATTGAAGAAAACCCTAACCTCTCTTTCCAAATAGAAGTCGGAAGCAACGATTGTTCTGTGAATAAACCCAAAATTTGGTTGCTAAACCTAAGTAGGTACGAATCATAATTTTCAGATTTTATTTTGAAGGAAATTGTCTTATTTCCATAAGAACTAAATAGCAGAAAAAAATACAATTAGTAAGAATATATAACCACATTTTTGGTAAGAAACCAGAAATAAAAAATTATTGGTGTATTTGAATTGATGGGTTTTTTATTGTGCAGTTATTAGAAGTATAAGTGTTTGTTTGTGAGGATAAAAAATGAGAGGATTTATAAAGTACATGAGTGGCACAAAAAGTGTGTTTCAGAGTGTTACAATGTTAAGTAATGAGTGCTCAAATGTGACGCATTTTAGCACTTAAGTTAGGGTATTTTAGTCCATTCATCTATCTTACTTTCATGTCTTAGATACTTATTTGTGTTTTTGTCTACTTCAGGTTAATAAAGTTCAAACAGGCTAATAAGAACCATTTAGCTCAATTTTGGAGCTCAGGAGCAAAGTTGGAAAGAAGCTAAGAAAAATGCACTAGAGGAACTTCGATCGATCGAAGAGGAATCCCGATTGATCGAAGTAGTCTACAATCGATCGAAATGAGGCAGTGCTAGCTCAACCAATCAGATAAGGCCTGAGGATACCCAAAATAACCTGGGCGGGGTACGATCCAGGTGGTCACAAGTGGGTCTACCATTCTAGGCTGAATCTTAATAAATCAAGCCCATGATCATTTTGGTTGAGTGGGAAGCCCGGTTTTTGTAAGGAAGAAGCTGAGCCTAAATTAAAGAGAAGCCCAGAAGAACGGCCCAGCTCAAGAAGTTAGTTAGAAAATATCTAGAAAGTCTGTAACAGTCTATAAATAGGCTGTAAGTAGAGGGAAAAGGGGTTGAAAAATTTTGAAATGTAGAATTAGTCTTTCTAATATGAGAGGGAAAATTTCTTACATCTTCAATGGCGCCGTCTGTGGGAACCGATGAAGATTGATCTGTGTTCGATAAAGGCGGATTTGATCAAGGCTAGTTCAGGGAGGAGCTGGAACTCTGAAAGCTGGATCCAGAACAGGGAGATTGTGATTCATCTTGCAGAGTCTTGATTCCAATTGTTTTCGAGACACTATCGTCTGATCTACGCAATCTTGATCTGTGTTTGTTTAGTTGATTTATATAGTTGAGATATGTTTAGATTGCTGAATTAGACAAACTCGCCGCAGGAGCAGTTCAGATCTAGCCAATCGAAATCGGAATTCAACTAATTCAAGTTTAGATCTAGTGCGTTCACATCAGCGGAGCTCAGATTTGATCACAAAGTGCGGTTAATGACTTTGCTCCAATCAGGAATGATAATAGGAGGAGAGAGCTCAAATCCACCAGAGAATGGCCAACAGACAAAGGTAGGTGAGTTAATGAACATGATCGAAGCTCTGAGAAGAGAGAATACGGAGTTGCGAGCTGGAATGGAGCATCAGGAGGCTTCGGCGATTCCACGGCCACCTCTAGTAGGGGAGCGCGCTTTGCCACATGATGTTGCTTACCAGGGCGAACAGGAACGGAACAATCACGTAGATTATCACCGCGAGGAGATCGGACCAGGTGATTTACCGGCTCATCAAGTAGAGGACCGAGAAGGATCTGTTCATCCTGATCCGCATCACGAGTGGATCAGGCGTGAAGAATCCATGGAGTCTGGACATCATAGGGCTATGTTGCCATGGCAAAATGAGCTCACAAAGGAAAGGTCGTTCGATCTGCCTTATCGGCCTTCAATGGCTACGCACGATTACAGAGTTTTCGACGATAGATCCGCAGATCAGAGGATTTTTGCAAGGCTTCCAAGGGAGAACGAAGCCCTCCGTTCGCCAGCACGAACGGTTGATTCACCGTTTACTTATGAGATTCTGAACGCTTCGAATCCGAGGAAATTTTCTATGCCAGTTTTCATCCTGTTCGATGGAATGACCGATCCGATCGATCATATTTACCATATCCAGCTGAAGATGGCTCTGAACATGGAGAATGATCATTTGATGTGTAAGTGCTTTCCTACAAGCCTGACCGGACCAGCTCTCAACTGGTTCAAGAATTTGGCCAAAGGCTCAATCGCATGCTTCCAGGACTTGTGTGACAAGTTTATAAGCCAGTATGGGAACAAGCGCCCAACCAAAGACATCTCAAGCCTGTTTACAATGAAGTAGCACGAAGACGAGCGACTCCAAACTTTCCTCACCAGGTTCAACCTCGTCAAGAGTATGGTAATGGAGTGTCATCCCTCCACAGTGGTTCAAGCATTCAAGCAAGCAATGAACCAAGAGACACCGTTCCACACGAGTCTGGTGGTTAATACGCCGAAGACCATAAATGAGCTGAATGAGAAAGCTGATGGTTTCGTGCATTTAGAGGAAGAAGAAGCAGCCAATGCAAGGAAGACGTCGATTATTTCAATAGAAAATAAGTCTAAAACCAAGATTCAGCAAAAAAGAGTTCCACCACAGCGTCAGAACTCCTGGAAAGCGAAGACGAGGCCCAGAGAGGAGGAGTTGGTTACTCCACTCAAAGTAACTCTGGCAAGGCTGTATCAAGAGAACAAAGATAAGTTTCGCCCTCCATTAGCAATTAGGCAACCTCTCGAGCAGAGAGATCAATCTAATCATTGTGCTTTCCATTGTGACTTTGCTCAACAGACTAATGAATGCAAGAATTTAAGAAGGCAAGTTGTGATACCCCTCGATTCTAGAGCCACGAGTGATCAAGTCCGAGCACAGATCCGAGGGATACCAAATAATTAATATGTAAACAAGCAAGAATACAAAAGAATTTAAAATAAAACAATAAGCTGAAAAGAATTCTAATATGAAAAATCCTCAAAAGAATAAAAACATTAATATAACTTAATCTTTCCAATCCGTACAACTCGGGAATCCATCAAGTGGACCCCTAATAATCCCCAACTATAAATGAAATATAGAACCAAAATCCAAAACTAAAATAATAAAGGAACTCATATGTAGTCGGAAGAGTGAGTGTTTGTATCTGTTTCATCACGATCAAGCTCTAAGCCTAGTATTGACGAATACCTGAAAAAATAAGAGTGGGTGAGGCCCACATGCAAGTTCCATCCTACTACAATCCATACATAAACTCGATACCCAGATACATCCTAGATAGCTCGGCAATAGCTAAAATAGTCCATATAGATATAAATACACACTATAGGACGCTCACTAACCTATAGTCATCACACCTGAGTAGAAGGTAACACACAAAACGCACGTAGCGTAGTCATGCACACTTAGACCTACCAGGGAACGTCATTAGGTCCAGTTATCCATCCAAGGTGATATATGCACCCTAACCGTGATCAGGAGACTCGGGCTCATATCACGGTACCATAATGATATATATTTAAAGTTCTCTCCTATCCATCCCTAAGAAAACCAGTTAGTCGTTCAGCTTATTCAACTGCATAGACTAAAAATAAATAGGATTCTATATTCACAATCCATTTCCTTCCTAATACAGAAAAGTAAAACAACTATCCGTTATGTTGTTCAACTATTTTAGTTGACAGGACATGCATCTATGTAGGATTTAACTGTTTTAGTTAATCTATTTCGTATGTATGAAGAAGTAACTTTTTGATCTAATCCATCTCCAATATGCCACCGTCCCATACCGGTGCATATAATGCAAATGATCCATAAATGATGCACACTCAATTGAACATCAAATACATCCCCAATATCCATATAATTGATAATGCCAGTATCTAATGGTTCATCAATTAAAATTCAGCACAATATCCATGTAATTGACAGACATATTTTAATAGTCCAGCAATTAAAGTCCAAATCAATAATCCAAGTATTTGTAGAATCAAGTTTAATATTTCAGCAATTAAATTTCAAAACCATAATCCATGTAATTGCAGATTAAAGTTAATATCTCAGCAATTATAAGCCAAAGTAAGTGTGACACTCCTCGAATCCGAGACATGACATAATGCTAATTAGAAATATAAACTGAGCACATTAATCTAATCCATGACGTACAAATATAAAACGGTACATCAAATAGTCCAGAATATCATGAATAATATCATATATTCAATTATTGCATTTAATCTAAACAATAAAACAGTTCTAAGTAGTACGCATTTAATGTGATACCCCTCGGATCCGAGACACGGGTTGATCAGGCCCAGGCCCAAACCCGAGTGAATATCAAACAATTAATACTTTAATAAACACAGAATACAAATTGAATTAAGAAATAAAATT